CCATTTTGGCAGACGTCTCCTGACATAAACCTTGCAATTCGGCAAGCTCTGCAAGTAGTTATTGTCAGTCAGCAATGATGCTTGAGTCTGGCCTATCACCTGGAAGCATCTGTTCAGGGCTCCAGTTGTTGAAGCTGCCCAACACCCAGTAGCTGTGGCCTCAGCGGGAAAACTGTAGTGACGACGGATTCACCAACATCATTGCAAGCTGCTTGGAGCGGCACGTGCTGGACCGGTCACCCCGCTGGCTGTCCATCCAGAATCCGGTCTTATTAAGCTTGAAACGCTCACCTTGATAAGAGCATCCACGATCTCAATGCGCAGCCGTACAGACTCTCCATGCTTGCCGGTGATTCTCCAGCACTTTCCATTGCCGAATGCATCGGGCCCTCTGACCGGAATCGCAGTCGCCCCCGCATCAAGAGCGGGCTTGGCGGGATAGATGACCTGCTCCTCGTCTTGATCTCGGACGAAATAGAACGACTCAGAGCGTGACATACCAATGCGAACCGTGACTTCGAAAGCACCCTCTTTTACACCCGAATTTTGCATCTCCAAGAAGTTCCAGGATGTCCAAGAACCAACCACGAAGTATCTGTGCCGAGCTTTGGATCCGATGAGCTTAGGAACCGAACCTCCAGTCAGCATAGCATCTGCACGCTGCCAGCTCACACGAAGTCTAAGCCCCCACTCCAGGGTGATGCGGAAGGGAGTTCCCGCAGGGACCTCATCATCCCGCCCGTCAATGATCCAGAATTTGCCCTTCCCTTCACCATGGGGTCCCACGACCCGCGTGGTCATGGAGCCATTCTTGACATAGGGATATATGGCCATGTCAGGATTCTGCATAAGGCACAACTGAAACCTCTCAACCCGAGTCTCTCCTACGACCACCATACAACTCCAGCTGTCACCATCTGAGCTGGGAGTCATCTCCGTTCTCTGCTTGAAGCTATCCCAGGAGCCAACAATGCCGATCCCACTGTCTGGCCTATCCCCTGTCATCTCTTCCGGAGGGCTCATCTGGAACTTGCCATCGTACAGGCTGCTGTTGTAATCATATTGGTCAAACTCATCGCGAATGTTGTCACAGCGATATCTGCCTCTGTTCCTCGAAATCCTGGAACCTGACGTTGGAACTTCCTTCCCATCGACATAGTGCATAGGGCCTTCGTCGAAGGGACAGCTCACCACCACGTAGTCAACTTTGTCTAGACTAACCTTTCCCGGCTTTCTGGGACCTCTGCTTGCCACGGCATAGACATCAGCACGCGCATTCGCCCCACCGAAGCCAAACGAGGAAACCCCTGAGTATCCAGACTGGTTGCCATACTCTGTGAGCTCAGTGTTGAAAACGGTTGGGTAGCCGTTAACATCCAAATGTGGATTCAGTATGTACAAGTGACAGTTCGGAGATCCGGCACAGGAATTGCACATCAAGATGCACTTGATGATGCCAGCTTGTCCGGCATTGGCTTCAAGATGGCCTATATGGCTCTTGGCACTTGTCTGCATGATGGGAGCCTTCCTGTCCTGCATGACTCCACGCAGAGCTCCGACTTCAATGGGATCCCCCAAAGCCGTACCTGTCCCATGAAGCTCGGAGCAGGTGATCTGATTGGCTGTCAGCCCAGCCTCTCGCATGGATCCCCGCACACATTCTTGCTGTGACGGTCCGTTTGGTGCTGTCATGCTCGCACTTCTCCCATCTTGGTTCAGACATGCGCCAATCACGGTTGCGATGGCCTCACGGGTGACTGCCTCTTCACTGCGGGCAAAGAAACACGAGGAACCCTCACCGCGTTCAAAGCCATCTGCAGACATGTCGAAGGTGAAGCACCGTCCGCTTATGGACAGCATGTGCGGACCACACAAGTTGATGTAGTTCCCTGGGCCTGGAATCAGGTTTGCACCGCCCATTAAGGCTTCCGTGATGCCGGAATCTTGCCCAGCACGAGTCTGCTCTGCAGTCACCTGCCTCAAAGCAGTATGCCCAACTCCATAGGCCACCAGTGCTGATGAGCAGGCTGTGTCCAGCAAAGCCTGTGGTCCCTGGAGGCCCAAGGTGTAACTAATGCGGCCAGCTATGCAGGACCATTTTCTTGCCTGATAGCCGAAGCGATGTCCATCCGTGGAGCCCATGGTGAACCTAGGATCTATGGAAAAGTCATCGCCACTGTGTCCGATGTAGACACCGACCCGCTTCCCTCTGATATCCTTCTTCCGCATGCCGGTGTTGAACAAAGCTTCGTAGCTCCTTTCGAGCAGCTGTCGTGCTGCTGGAGCAAGCAACCAGGCTTCCTCCTCGGGGACATTAAAGAAGTCGTTGTCGAAGGAGAAGATGTCCTTGCAGAAGCCTCCATGCACGGTGTATGTGTAGCCAATCTGCCACTCCTCGCCCGTTCTCGTGTAAGGCTCAATGTCGAACCTGTCCACTGGAGCATAGACGTATCCATCCGTGCCCCCTGCCACTGCACACCAGTAGGCATCCAACTTTTCGAAGGCGGCACCAGGGAGGGAGATTCCAACGCCATAGACACATATTCGCCGACCTTCAGGAGTGTTGGGTCCGGAAACGAGGCCATAAAGCTCGTCTTTGGACTTCTGATCCCCAGCGACTTCTCCAAACTGGAACTGTGCCGGGGCGGTCAAGACCCAAGCTTGCAAGACTAGGTCCTCCTCAGAGTCTGGTCGATAGGCGTAGCTGATACGGTCATGACGAAACACAACCAGACGGCCTGCTTGTGCTGGCAGAACTATCTGAGCGCCATCCTTTGGATAAAGCGACAGCTCGCCTCCACTGCCGTGTGCCATCAGGAACATGCACAGCTTTCGGCGCTTGAGGAAGTCGACATGTTCATCGACCAGGCCCTTTGCAATGTCTTCGTCGCTGATGTTCTCAGACACACCCGCACCCTCTGAAGAGGCCGGCACACGCAGCATTCCGCTTGTCCGGCTGTGTGGCATGAAATCCAGCGCGAAGGGGGCAACAGGCAAGAGAAACTGTGTAAAGCGAGCAAGGTACAGGTCCAGCAGGTCGATTGGACTGTCCTAGCGGCGAACTGTAACCGTGGCGCTTGCAAGCAACGTTGCAGTCCAAGGCATGCTGCTGAGCCCACCGCCATCTCTTGCTTCTCTTCCACCATCTCTTCCAACCATGCTGTCTTGCACTTCCTGGAGTGCAACATCTGACAAAGGACGTTGAGATCAGAATGGCGCAGCAACTTCGCGAGCAAACGAGTCCACTGTCAAGTGGCTTACAACTGCGCTCAAGCAGAAGCACATGGTCTAATGTCAGAAACAGTAAGACAGGAAGGCATCAGCAATACCAGACATCACTATCAAAAGCAAGCAGCACTGGAAGCGTTGATTTTAAGTGTCACCAACACCACAGTAGCGCGGCAGCTGTACTGGTCGCAGGGCAGTGGTCGTGGTCGTGGTCGTCGCGGCACTGTTTTGCTGCTGGGGACGGTGGTTGTGGGGCTTGTGGTAGTGGTATTGGCAATGGCCGCAGCGGCGTCAACATGATTGCCGTCATCATCATCTTCTTCTTCATAAGCACCATCAACTGCATCATCACCACCAACAACAGCAACGTCCTCAGCAGCAGCAGCAGCAGCAATATAAACAAGCTGATCAGCATCATACCATACTGTACCGGACTTAGCTAATGCCGTGCAAGCTGCTGATGTCTACCTAAGTAGGACGGCTCGAACTCCCTCCGGAGTCGCTTCCATCTGTACCTGGGATGGAAACGGGTACCGACAACTGCCACGGCCTGTTCACCCTGCATACCATGCCGACCTTCCACAGGTGACCTCAACTTGCGCTTCTTCGGCCGCTTCTTCACCTTTGCATTCAGCATGTGTCAGGAAAGATGCGACTGCCAATTTAGTCAGATGACGCAGGGTTTGACGACTCCAAGGAAGTTCATACCACCAGATCCAAAGACTGCAGAAAAGGCTGGCATAATTCGGGTTCAAGGCGGTAGTCCTTTTGGCTCGGCGCACCAGCTATGCCTGGGCCTGTTGACCCCGTGGTCCTCTAGCCAAGCCAGTCTCGCTAGCCGCTGATTTGCCGCAAAGCCCTTGATCCCTTGGATCTGAGGACGAGTGATAAGATGGTCATCGCCCCGGAGTGTTAGATCCCCTGCACCGATGAAACCTAGAGCTGTAGCTCCCTGGGCCCAAGGCTCAAAGGAAGCTGGATCACGCAGTAGCCTTCCTGTGCCAATGCATCGACGGCCCGAGCCGTGAAGCTGCCAAGAGCCTCCATGTCGCCTTTGGTCGGAAACCCGTTGAGCTTCGTAGGGACAAGAATGATCGTCTCCGAAACTCGGTAGCGGACCATCTGGAGGCCATGCAACATGGAAGCCTCCTCTTTCTGGGTGAGGCACATCCTGCAAACGGGATGCGTGCACTTGCGTAGCACGCAGCCATGCTCATGCTTGCGCATACCATTCAACCATTCATGCAGGAAGACATGAATTTTGCTAGCTACTGTCTCTTGCAAGCGTGCAAATCACTGAATGTAGAAGCCGGCTCCTGTGCTGCGGCCATCTGGCAACAGCTTGGCTGTATGTTGGTTGATTGGTGTTCTGCGTAGTGTGGGGCTAGGAATGCTGAGTTCTATGGTGGAGCCAAAGGCTCGACAGGTAGCGATGGCTTGGGCTTCGTAGGCTTTGGGCTGGTTGAGCCTCACGGAGCTCTCCACGCGCCAGGCTCAGAGCCAAAAATGGCTTGATCAAGTCAGACAAGTTCTTGAACAGACCAAGGTCTCCGGCTCGGGCGCTTTAGCAGCTCGAACAAAACATTGGGGCCCCTTGCAAGTCATGTGGAACATGATCATCGACATCTTTCCCGTCCTTCTAGCGAACAAGTCCAAGAATGCGATGTAAATCTGCTGGCACCAAGAAGCGAAGGCCTCTGCAAGCCAAGCGAACTCAACATCCTGCTCCTGAAATGAACTCACTGAGTTGCGAGGACCACTGAGAAGCTCTTGTGAGACCAGGCCGAGATGAGTGTCCTTTCGGACGGTGTCATGCAGGCTGCCTGCAGCTAACCTTGGCTTTGCATGGCTTTGCAAAGATCCGCCTCTTCCAGTCAACAGCATCCACCCTTTGGACCTTTGCGCAATGGTGGACCAACCCGTAGTTTGAACGAGTATCTACTCAGAGATTGCCAAGAGAACAATCGCCTACCAGCCCAACCAGCATTTTTGCTGACTAAAAACTTTACAATGCATCGGTTGAGCAGTGTGGCATGTGCGACAGCCATGCAACAGAACATGTTGACCCGGACTTGCTCGAACCAATTTTCCAAGACTGAGATTCCGGCCGCTTCAGAAGCCACCGACACCTTTGCCGAAACGATGATGCAACTGTTGGCCTCAGTGCAGCTTCTGAAACTGTGACTGTGCGAAGCTGCCCGACCCTGGGGTGCCAGCAACAGCATGTGCCTGTGCAACTGGGCCTTCATGGGGCAGATACAGACAAGCTACAGACCACATGCTTCGCTGAAGATGCCTCTTTCAGCAGCCCTTCGAGGCCGGCCACCACAAAAGGAGACATGACCTCAATCTTAAGCTAAGAGCTGACGGAACACCGCCACATCATGGAGGGATCGTGGATGGATCGATGTCGATCCTTCAAAGATAAATTCCTTTTGCCAGACTCTCTGCTCGTGACTGTGTTTGTTCATGCGTTGCTTCCATCTGACGCACAGCGCAGTGTACGTCCTTTGCCACAACCACGGGGTGGGAGCAAGGCTGGTTAGGTTACGTTCCGGCCAAGAGCAGGACGTCCCAGACTCCAGACTGTACGGCGGCATTGGGCGCTTTGATTTCGGGAGGTTGGCAAACCCACGGACTGTGAGGTCGGGCCCGGAGATCCATTTGCGAGAACCTGCATGGATATGCACGGTTGCTACATGCCCGATGTGAACAAAGGAGAAACAGGCCGAAATGTTGTCATGCCACGTGCTGCCAGTACTGGACCAGGACATTGTGGAAAAAGTGTATCGGTGATTTGGTAAGATGCAAGTCCTACAGAGTCCTACAAATCGGAAACCCCGGTAGACTGCCGATTCTGCCATCGTTGTTGACCTGACCGAGTTCATCAACACTTCTTCTGCAACTTCGGTTTGCAGGTGTACCTGTGTCTTGGCATGCTGCCTTAAATGGTCCAGTCCAGTTTTCGTAGTGCGCGACTGCAGCGTCTGAGGCCACTACTGCACAAGAGGACATGTGAAAGCACATAGCGGCAAGGGGAGCCTGGGTTTGAAGGCCAGCGCAAGGCAACGTTGCCACTTAGAGATTGCCATCCAAGAGGCAGTTCGGTCCATCATTGTCGAAGCATGGCAAGAAGCCTGGCTGAGACAAGCAAAATCAGACCCCGAACTTCGGAATGCAGCCAGTGCTTGCAGCGAAAGATGAAGCTGCGCTCAGATACAGGCTGGCAGCAGTGCCACCGCAGCTGACGCGATGCTATGCAGCACCTTTCAATTGCAGCACGGCACCACAAGTTGAGCGACCGCAAGATTTCAAGGCTACAGCTGATGGCCTGACGCAGTTCGACTGCCATTTGGCCGATGCAGACGCCAGCAACTGCCCCAAGCCTTCGAAAGCTTCGGACATGACCAGCTGTACTGCACAATGAAGCAGCTGGGGTCTGAGCAAATTCAGCTCCATGCCATGGACCGTCAACGGGCTAAGCCTTGCTTGCACGGACATCGGACTTGGCTTGCAGAGAGTTCGTGCTGAACAAGTGCCACGCATCTCCTCTGGCTCTGGCCTGTACCTCGGGCAGAGGCTATTCTTTTTTGATACTACGACATCGGTTGTCGGTTGCTCACCCCTCGGAAAGGTAGATTAGATAACCATAATGGCGATGGCGCCGATGTCTCTACTGTAACTGTTGTAACTTCCGGTAGTTGCTCTGACTATCATCCGCGGCATTACGATCATCACCACCTGCGCTAGGTTCTAAGACGGAAAAGAGCACTGATTGTCATACACTGTTCTTGTAACCAATGACTAGCATGCATTACTTCTTCACTAATCATCACAGCCGGAAGAAGGACGCCAGGCGGCCTCGCCTGTTTCCCTGGCAGCAGAGGCTGAGGAGGCAGCTGAACCCATCGAAAAGGTGGCAGGTTCAGCCGGTTCGCGACCTTCACTTGCTAGCACTTCCCTACGGATGTCCGCAAGAGACATGACAATAGTATTTAGGAGGCTCCTCAACGTGGTTGTGCACTGTTTGCAGCCCCACAGCCCCATATTCGCCAAGATCACGCCCGTGACGATGTGACAGGCACTACCATCTTTGCGATGGTGAGGACATATGAGGACCATCATAACCTCTACTGCAGGAAAATTTGGTCTTAATCTTTTTGCTCCTGGGTACTGAAGAACCTACCCTACTATTACGCTTCCATTGGCACAAGAGTCTCCTTGCAACGCAGAACACGCTGAGACAAAGAATGTCGCTTTTTGCTTGCTCTGCTCTCGGCTCAGACTCGCAGAAGCGAAGATGGAACCCGGGCTCACAATCGCTCTTGTTGAAGAACTGCTTGTCTCCAATCGCTTCTGGGAGATATCCTTGGTTGCAGCCTCTTGTGTATCCTGCTGCTGGATTGTACACATAGCCGTCACCGTAGCCCAGCGTCCTGAGCGCGAATCTCCGAATGTATCAGGAAATCGGGGAACTGAAAAATACGTGCAGAACCTGCCACAAGAACCTACTCAGACAAACCGTCGGGCCGAATCCAAAACCTGTCAGCTTCATCACCTTCGTTGGTGCATTGCGGATGTGCAGCGGGACCGGCGCATGAGGCTCCCTCTCACACAACTTTTTGACAGTTTCATAGGCGTTGTAGACCGCACAGCTTTTTGGTGCAAGTGCCAGGTATATCACACACTGAGCAATCACAACTCCAGCTTCAGGCATTCCAATGGCATGAACTGCCTGATCGGCTGCGACCGCTTGACTCAGAGCCAAGGGATCTGCCATTCCCACGTCTTCAGATGCAAAGCGAATGAGCCGGCGTGTGATGTAGCGCGGTTCCTCGCCTGCGGTTAGCATCCGTGTGGCATAATACAGCGAAGCATCTGGACACCCACCTCTCATGCTCTTGTGCAGAGCACTTATCAGATCGTAATGAAAATCCCCGTTGCGATCATAAAGAGCACGCTTCTGGATGGCTGCTTGAACAGCCTCGGAATCGATCGGTAAGCCTGACTTTGTCAGGTGAGCCGCAAGCTCCAACGAGTTCAGTGCCACGCGGGCATCACCGTCCGCTGCCGTGGCTAGAAGTTGACGTGCATCACCCGTGAGCGTGGTGCCCCCCAGCACAACATCTTCACGGATTGCCCGATCGATGACATGTCCCACGGCTTCCGGTGACAGCTTCCCGAACACGACTAAGCGACAGCGCGATAGAATTGCATTGTTAATCGAGAAAGACGGATTCTCAGTGGTGGCAGCAATCAGCGTAATTATTCCTTTCTCGCAATCCAAGAGCAGAGCATCCTGCTGTGCTTTCGACCAGCGATGGAACTCGTCCACAAAGAGGATGGTTCCCAGCTTGCGCAACTTCAAGGTGCCAGCAGCTCGGTTCAATTCCTCACGCAGCTCTGCGACACCAGCCTTCTGCAGCAGTCTTTAGAAGCTTAACGGTGGCAAGACTTACGGGATCTTACGAGGCCTTCGACATGCACTGTTTGGTAACCGGCACTGCCTTGGCAGCAGACAGGGACCGAAATGCTCGTTTGGTTCCTGCGGCCACGCAGTGCGCAAAGGAGGTTTTGCCACAGCCAGGTGGGCCCCAGAGGATCAGGGAAGGCAAATGATCTTCGCGTACAGCCTGGCGCAAGACAGATCCCAAAGCATCTTCTTGGCCCAGGAGCTCTTGGATTCCCTTCGGGCGCATGCGCTCTGCCAGAGGGGTGGTCGCAGAACTCGCACATGCCGCCGTGGCTGGCTTTTCCTGCAACGAGCCGATGGCGCTTGCATGCTTCCGTTCGGAGTTCGCATCCTTCTCGTCAATGGCTATCGAGTTGTCAGTCTTCGGGTACTTCTGTCTGGTCTCGAAGAAGCCGGGCAACGATGGCGCTGGTCTCTTCTGAGCCAGGTTGCCTCCTGTCGCCGCTGTGGCCTGATCGTAATGCAGGTTCAGTGCGACACCAGCGTTGTTACCAGCTCTGTTTAGGAGCTTCTTCAGCTCAGCATCGTCCAGCGTGTGGCCCAAGACGTCGCGCAAGGCAGCCAGCTCGCTGTCAGCATTCCCGTCGGCCATGTCTCGCATATCAACATCATTAGTTGCAAACCAAGATACAGCATGAACAGAACTACGCACAAGGCCAAGGTTGTCTGTACCTTTGCCGTCTTGAGCTTCAGACGTCCAAGACCAGCTTTGCCTGGCAATGGGACCCACGAAAACTCAGAAGCTCCGACAATGCCCAACTATACACACACGACGTATCGTTGTCCTGAAAGAAAACTGACGGGAGGACATGGAAGCCAGAGACCAAGACGGAGAAGGCTGGAGAAGGCAGCACCTAGCAATCACTCTGGAAGCCAGCACAAGCAAATGTTGTGTTAGGCTCATGATCCGGTCGGGTCTGCCTCTGGATAGCTGCGAAGGCAAGCTGACCTCCAGCAGCGACATCTTTGCTCGAGCAAGCGCGGGCGTGGGCTGAGCTTAGGCAGCAGCAATCTTCTCATCCAAGGGTGAACCCTCGGGGAGAGCAAGGCAATCATCACCTCTTGGGTCAGGTCAGATTATGACTATAAATATAACAATCAGAAAATAAAAATAGTAGCAAGAATAATGAAATAATAGCAGTATTAGTAAGAGGAATAATAATAGTTATTATTATTATTATAACAATCATAATAACGATTATAATTACGAAAGCAATTAAGGAAAAAGTGCAGAAAGCGAAGGCCCTGCCTGACAGGTCACCTGAAAAGCCGTCTCCAAAGTTTCAAAGGGGCGCTTCAAGCGACAGGACCTCAATATTCTCGCACGCTTTGCCAAAAACCACAGAGATGCAAGCTGCTACCAAGAGAGTTTCAGAGCCACGGTCTCTAAGGTCCAAGCTTCTGGGAATTTCGAGTGGCCTGAAAGCCAAAGCGAGCAGTGCATTTGCCATCCCTCCTCTGCGTCCGCTTGTGCGGATCTCCTCGAAGTCATGGGCTCGTCGGTATCTTTGGATGAGCCTGCCGTGGCGAGGCAGTCCCTAGAGCCGCAGTCGCTCTGTTCAAATCGCACCTCTGAGCTTCTGTTGCCCATTCCTCCTCCGTCTCTTCAGCTGTCCGGAAACCAGAGTCTTCAGAGGTGAGGGTTTCCTGGCAAAGTTGCTCGAACGACAGGTGCCAAATCCTGGATTCGTTTTCGTGCCTCCGGGGCCATGCCGGTGGTGGGACGAGGGCTTGGTGCGGAAACTGTGCAGTCTGCTGACCTCTGGATTCCTGTGTGTAGAGAGTGTAGGCTTCAACAACCATGGAAGCGCCGTCGTGTCGTCCTGAGTGATGTTGGTTACCTAGCTCATGTGTAGAGGAGTGACCGCCTCTGGCTCGGAACGGTGGAACTGGCAAGAGCCAGAAAATGAATCAGCGAAGGCACTGCAAGTACTCTTGTTGAGCTGCTCTGCTTGCCCTACCAGCTCTGGCGAAACACGATTGACAGTTCAGGACACGACCCGGTATCCGGTACAGCTTCAAACGAGGAGTATGCTGCGTCAGTGCTGCATCGGCTTGACAAACATAACCCTGTGACCGCTCTGTATCCTTTCATCCTTCCACCGCATGTAGGGCCAGCGCAGCTAGGGGTTGGGGCATGTTGGGGCGATCCCTGTGAGGGAGCGACACCTGATTCGGAGAAGCGCAGTCCACACCGAGACGAAAAGAGGCACCAAAAAATGCACTGCATGCCGCAAGCGGATGGTTGCCTTGCATTCCTCCCGTGTTTGCTCGAGTTTCTCTCCAACCTTTCTTGCGAAAGGATTTTTAGTCTCAACACTTCCTGCCACTTGCGGGTCCAAACCTGCGCGGCGTAGGCCGACTCCAGGAGGTTCTAACAGCCGCCGCACATGCATGGGCTCCGGTGTGAAACAAGCGCTTAGCCAACGGTGTGTTAGCCAAAACTTCGACTAAAAGTGCAGTGACCCCCTTTAGGTCGTAGGCAAGCCGCCAGAAAACTCGGTGCCGGGGTGCGCACTTCCCGAGCACCGCCCGAAGGGGCGAGTGCCGGCCGATAGTCAAACGAAGTCTCCGATTAAAAAGACCTCAGGGAGGCGAGGGTGGGATTCGGAATTTAGGTGCATGAATGCACCACACAACAAGCGCTTAGCTAACGGCGTGTTAGCCAACACTTCTACTAAAGGCGCACTCCCCTTGGTCCCTTTTTGGTCGTAGAGCAGACAGCACGCGGCCGGGCACACCGCCCGAAAACCTCGGTGCCGGTGTTGGGATGCCTGGGGCGTTGGCACCTGCCAAATGGCAAGAGCAAGCAGTCTCTCAGGGCAGCCCCATGACAGGCGAAGTCGGAGCCGCCGGCGGAGGCGACGGCTTGGCCACCCCGCGACCTGCTCTGTGACGTCGGGCGTGGCTGGGTGAAGGAGACCATGTCCGGGACGTCTAGCGCCTGTTTTATGGGTCGGTGGCCGGTGGAGGCCTTAGCCCGTCCAGGCGAGGATGCGGAAGGCGCCGCTGTACCCATAATGGACGATGAGGACGCCGACAGAAATGTAGCCGGCGAAGAGTTTAATCCACCGACGCACCGGCGATGAAGGTGCGGATAAAGAACTCGCTCGAAAGGGCTCAGGTGGGCCGCCCCAGACGGAGGCGAAGACGCAGCGTGGGCTGCCCGGCGACGTCGCGGGCCCATCCTCCAGTGACGATGCCGTAGGAGCAGGCGACGACGTAGTGGGAGCCACCACCAGGTCGAGCCCGAGATCGCCGCAAAGTCGACGAACGCCTCGGCGAAGGCTCCAGGCGAGGAGGCACCGGAAGAGGCCATGTTGGCGATGCGAGGCGAAAGAATGAGGGAGATTCGAAATTTAGGCGGTCGAACCGGGATGCTGCCGGCCGACCGCATGCGCTTGTTCTTACGTGCATGAATGCACTGCACAACAGCATCTGTTTGTTCATTTGCTTTCTCACCTGTGCTCGACAAATGACGGCTTGGTTTCGACACAAGTGAGGTGAGCCGATCACCACGACGGAGAGCATTTCGGCAGTCACGGGGAAGCCGACATCGGAAGCCGGAAATGCTAACAGTCTAACAGCCACGCTGCTCAAACTCGGCCATCAACGCGAAGTTTCTCACGCTTATGGCGCTGTCGCATGCTGTCACGCAAGCTTCGGCTTGGCAGAGATTGCCAAGAAGCTGGGAAACCAAGGTGTCATAGGCTTATGCAACAACGGTGTCAAACTAAGAACCACTGGAAGTGTGAAGCTCCAAGATGGCAGGAGATCTTTCAAGCCTCTGCGGATTCAGTCGTGTCTTGAGGCTTCTGCCCCGAACTGCCGCAATCGAGGCCCTGGACGCGCGGCCTTTTCCGAACGGGCACCTGTGACAAAACAGAGTTGCACAGCTGCGCAGGATGGGAACTGCAGCTTTGCCCTCGCCTCCATTGGAGTTTCGACGGAAGACTCTCTAGCAGCAACAGAGTTCTGGACTGCAAGACCTCCGACTGCAAGTGTTCCAAGCTCGCGGATCGTGGACTTCACATGGAGACTTTCGACATGCCTTCGCCCACATCGATCGTCGCCTCCTGTGCACTGCATGTAGCAATCTTGCAGTTCATCATGCTACCCACACAAGCAGTTGAATGAGTAGGCCAGCCACTGCCGCCAAGCCCGAAATATCTGCTTGCAGCCGCAACAAGTGCAAGGATGACAATCCCTGCATCAAGGCAGGCTGATGGTTCGAGCTGGCTTTAAAAACATGGCGCCTTCTCTTCCTGCGTGTCTGCGTACTTCTCCGCTTTGCGACACCTCACTGCAGAGTGCAGGGCTGCTCTCTGCTCCCCTCCCTTAGCCCTCCCTTAGCCCCCTGCTCTTCGATGGCGCTTTCTTTGAGCCCCTGTGGACCAGGGACCGGGAGCAGACGACGGGAGCTCGCAGACGGTGACCGTCCGACTCACGAGGGTCCTGTAGGTTCAGGAGGTCGGCCAAGCGGAGATGACATCGAACAAGAGAAGAGCTGGCTGCATCTTCCGCCTCGATTGTTGCACGTGCCGCTGCCAGTGGCTATGACCCTTCTCCGGCGCCTTCATCTCCAAGCAACGCCTCTCGTCCCGAAAGACACCAAACTCGACTGTGTGGTCGCTGTAACTCTTAACATGCGGCATGCCTTGCAGTCTCCAGGGACTCCCACGCCTGGGCTGCGCGAAACGCACAAGAACAAGAGCCAGCTTCACTTGAGAGCTTCCGAGCATGCTCAGCTCTGCCCTGCACCTTGAACGCCTGAACCTGCTCTGTGCGCCTGGCAAGTTCAAGATCCTCCTCGAGCTCCGCGAACTTCGAGCCTGGTCCAGGCACAGGCTGACGCCCTGTTGTGGATTGCTGTAACGTGTCTCCCTCTGCCAAGGCAGTCGCACTCCTCAGTGTCGTCATTGCCCTGGGTTGCTTGGCTCTCTGGATTCATGGCGCCAGCCCGTTCCGGATCCTTTAGATGACAGCATGTGCTAGCAGGGGCGACTGGAAATCTTTCAACTGTCAAACGTGCTGAGTCCTCTCCGAGAACATCCATATCCTCCCCACCAACGTTGCCGGAAACACCTATGAAAAGGCTGTGAATGGCGAGCATTCCATTCCTGCTCTGTGAACTCGGCCTGTTTCCACCAGGCTCAGCAGAGCATCACCGTACTCAAGCCTGCAAAAATCGGGGCCCCGGACTGGTCAGCTGCCACGTGAAATTTGTTCAGCCACTGAGATGCAAACCACTGCATGCCCAAGTCAGGATGCACCTGGGCCAGGAGTCTTTGTAACTCGTGTCGCATACTGTGAGTCTGGGTAAACACTGGAAAGCTCAGAAGATGAGGCACCGGCATCCGTTCCCAAGCGAGTTGTGTTTTCTCTCAGAGCTTCTGCCAGCCCCTGCATCGAGACTGGCACATCTGTGCACCACAGCTCCGCGATTTCGGTGCAGGCCTGCACCGCCGTCTCTGCATCCCCGTACCCCGCATCCTTGGGAGCTTCGGGGTTTGCAATGGGGTCACTCCACGGAGGACTGAGTGCAAGGCCTGGGATGGCCCATCCATCCGTGGACCAGCTTGCAAGGCTCTCTGTGCATCAGTAGGACAGAATGCGGTTTGCTGTGTCACTCCCCCAACACGACAGTCTCGCGAGATTAGATCGACAAGAACATGTTGGCTCAGTAGTAGGTTGATGTGCTGTAACGACATTGTGTTGAACGACTTTTTGCAGCTTTACAGGTCTAGATGCAGCCACCCTGGGTTGAGACATATACGCATGCAGGCATCTACGCATCCTTGGCCACTGCTGCGCTCCAGCCGAAACACCAGGAAGACCCTTTTTGTAATTGGGGCTCTCGGAGTGCTGCGAAGCTTTCCGAAGGTGAGACATGGACCCTTGAAGTCGATCATTTCTTGGCCTTTCCTTTCTTCTGCGCCTTGTTGAGAAGGCGCAGCTGCTTCCGCTTTTCTTCCAGGCCCTCGACCGGTTCGTCATCCCGCTTCGAGAACTCGGGCTCCAAGGTCCGAGATATTTTGATGCCCATCTGCTTGGCGGTGCGCATGAGGCCAAGACAGATTGTTCTTACCGGCACTCCAATCAGCTGCGGATCCATGCTCTTGGCCTTGGCTATATGGAAGAGCTCCTTCAAGGTGATGTTGCCAACAGGCGGAGCCCCCTGACCAAAGTCAGACCCTTTCGCCATCCTAGCGCACCGCAGGAGAAACCAAGGGGACTGTGGCGTTCGTAGAAAGAATTTGTAAGTGCGATCCGATCGGGGCACCAAGGTGCACTGAAGTGGAACCTCTGGTCGCACTTTGGTCGTCCGCGCATTGAAGTCTTTGCAGAATGTCACCATATTGATTCCCAAAGGTCCCAAAGCTTGCCCCAATTTTGGAGCTGGCTTGGCTGTCGCGCCAGGAACGATTAAACGAAATCGCCCGACAACCGACATGGCGTCAAGTTCGCAAGATATATGCACACATGACCTGACCGCTGCTAGAGGGTCTAGAACTTCTAGAACTTCTAGACGAGAATGGAGTCTGCATGTGGATTGACAGAAAAAGGACAGCTCTCCAGCTTGAGCAGCGGTTCTGCAAGGCCTGACCAACGCACTGCCGTTGATGCCACTGTCGCCACAAACACGCTGTCCCTTCCACTTTAAAAATGCCTTTCTCACAGCTCGATCGATGGCTTAGCCGAGTCCAGACACGCGACGGGCTTCCTCAGCGGGGTACATCCGGCTAGCGATCATGTCAGGAAGTATTTCAGTGTCTTTGGAGTTCGCCAAAGCAGATTTTCTGAGACAAGCCACTTGCCCCCGTCGCACCTTGCTACAATCGCATCAACTTCATCCTCGATCACGGAAGAGTAGCGATCATCCCTCAAGTCCTCAGACACGTTAGCCACTTGACAACCAGTATGTTCGGCTGTAGTTCAACAGGATTTGTGCGGCATGGCAAGAAAAGAATCCTTGTGTAGTTGTCTTGCAGAGACTTCTGAGCTGCTACTGTGCTCACCGGAGAGCCAGTGTTGGCAAAGAACATATAAACAAGCCGTCGGCAGGAGTCCTCGTATGTGAGGCCGATGTTGGTGTTTGCCACGATGTGCTCCTTCAAATGACGTAGAGTTACCTGATGCACAAGGCAAGCATCCTCGGAACGACATGAACGGCAGAGCAGCCATGCTTGAATCACAACGTTTTGAGACAGGCTGCAGTGCCCTTCCCGTAGTCTTTGTATCGGGACTTGATGAACTGCCGCACCAAAGGGACAGCAGTGTCTGCAAATGTTTGGTCAGGCGGACCACGCGGGGAATCCTGAGGGCCACGACTCAGACGGGTTGTACATCGTCGCCTACTTCGACATGTCAGCATGAAGCCAGTGCGGCATCATGTCAATCCCACTTCCCCTCCAAGTCTCCACCGATGCTGCATGAGTGGCCCCCGATGAAGACAGGAACATGCTCCCGCAAGCAATGCCCGCCAGCAGCAGCAAGATAACCTCAGCCCCACATGGTACACATCGCACGCACACAAAAATATTTCAGTTGCGCACGCTTCATGGGACTCGCATTGCACCAAGACGCTGCGCAGCTTCGTAGGCAAACGAAAAGCAAACTTGACCTCACACCTTGCAGGAACACACAACCAAGGCTCATGTGTGCAGGACATGCGTGCGCAGGGATGGTCGCATAGCTTCATACAGACCGCGCCTGGGCTTGGTTTACCCTCCGCGCTCGTCTGACGATCGGATGAAGTTTTCAGTTTGTGCCGAGCCATGACCCCAAAACTACCATGTCGCGCACACTGACGTAAGCTTGCCGTCAAAAGCTTGGACATGCTGGTATTTAATTGGGGAAGGCTCGGAATCCTGAATGCATCTCGCGCTTAGCTGCTTGAGCCCGCACATCTTCGTCTTGCAATCAAGTAATCCGGGCAACAAAAGACAGGCCTCGAAATACCCAGCAAAGTCTCCTCACTTTTTCGGCCAGGTTTGCAACTGCCATGTCAGTCTTCTGGAGCCTGGTTCAGTTTGGGACCTGCATGAAGATCTGCTTCTCCCTGTGTCAGCTGAACAACCTCCACAGGCAACATCGGCAGGATGTCTTGTCTTATCTTGCAGACACCTGAAGATGATTCGAACCGAAGGAAGGCGTGGCCTCTGCATTTCGTCTGTCCACCTCCTCGCAACGCTTGTCTATTTCCTGCGGGGTGTAGCCTGAGAATGGCTGGCAAACTCTTGCATGGCAAAGAGATGCACGAACAACACGCGAGAGGCTGCAGAGTAGACAGGAGCCTGGAATAACTTTGTTGCGCTCCTTCACTCGGCCAATGCACTCCTTTCAATCCCGGAACGCATAGCTCCACGGGCAGCACCAACTCGAAAAGAGTGTGCAAAAAGTCTTGACCTGTCCTCAAGATCCGCATCAAGGTAAACCTTGAAGTCGAAGAGATCTGGTATTTCTTGCCACCTCTGCTGGTTGGTCACGTCTGAACGGAACACGGAAGTTTTTAATAACAAGCTATCGTCGTCATCAGGCATCGACAGTAAACAAAATTTGCACACGGTCCACGCTTGGACGATGCTTCATCTATCGTCATGCTATCCACCAGAACCAAAAAACCGCAACAGGCAAACAACCGATGCCCCAATGCAGTTTGGCTTCCCATCGTTCCGGTGGAGCAGATACAACCCCTCCACGAGAACTATCCGATGGACACGGCGGTCAAAGCAAACTGCATCTTCCACTGGATCGCCACGTGCCTCAGCCGAAACAAACAGCATTACGTGCAGAGGCTACAATGACTATACCATGCAACGCACAACAACAACCTGCAGCCAAGTCGATGCCCAACCCAACTCAATTGCAGTCTGGCGCTGCATGGTCAAACGCGGGGAACTTCACGCTTGATTCTCCAGCTTTGACCCTCTTCAGCGCTTCTCTCAGAGACGATACCTCAAATGTGTCTGGAGCGCCTCGCCTGTACACTGCATCTGCGGCGTCTGGTCTTGACTGTAGGTCGGACAGCTTTGTATGATATCCATCCATCTGTACCACAAGACAATCCGGCTGCAACAGGCGCAACAAGATTTGTGAGATCCTGCTCTTTCCCGATCCTGGCATTCCCGCTATCGCCACCAGAAGCGGCTTCCCGGAAGGCACGGATGCTGCCCTGCCACGAAGAGTGTTTGCTAAAGAGACTTCCCATGTCAATCGAGAAAGATGTGTGCCGTCAGGAAGCTCGTGTACACTGAGTCTGGCAACAAATCTTGCAACTGCATCTACGAAATGCGCTTGTGCATCCTGCCCGCGTACCCCATGGCCGCCCTGCTGCAAGACCAAGCACTCTGCAGTTCGTGCTACACCCGCAGCCATCGCATCGGCCATGCGATGGCACAACATTGATACATCGACAGTCTTTGGCACATACTCGTCATCTGCGGAGGCTATCAACAAAGCAGGCGTGTGTACATGACCAAGCTTCTGTTTCATCTCATCTTCCGACAGATCGGAAGAGAACATGTCGTCATCTGCTAGCCGTCTTGTCAATGAGTCGAAACGATAAGCCGTAATCACATCTGGAGGACCAAACAGCTGACACGCTGCGCGAGGCAATGCCTCCTCTCCTCGTCCTTCAGCTATCATCTTGCTTGCTGTCTTTGCAAACTCACAGAGGGCTTCAACTTGGTTTCCAGAAGTTTCGACAGACAAAGCTTCACGATCACTCACGGGCGCTTGGAGAACGATTCCATGTACAATATCAGTAAGCTTGCCAACCTTAAGGTAGTGGACTGCATCTTGACATCCGGTCGATGATCCGAGCAGGACGACTTCTGTAATCCCACGCTTCGATCGCAGGAAGGACAAGAATTTGTCGATTCCCAATACATCATCGTCAAGACTCGCAAAACCCCAGCCCCGGTAGCTACTTTGCAGTACCGGTTGAAAAGTTCGCCAGCCGACCTGCTGCAGTTCGGCGGCCAATGCTGGCAGGTATCGTAAACTCAACAAGCCGTCGGTCAAGCCTCCAATGCAGACGACTGCTTTGGAACCCTCAAGAACGCCCTGCCCAGCACGGGCCTCAAAGCCGGCATAACCCAACATCTCATCGTACAGAAACACCTCGCCTTGACACGCTGTCTCCATCCCTCCGGTAGCGCTCAGCGCCGCTGAAACGTGATGCAGTGAACTGTGACGGTTCTTGCAGGATCCTTTTGCAGAATGAAGCAATCCCACAGCAATAGCTCCAGTCACTCGGCCCTGGCTGACAGTAGGATGCAAAAATGACGAGCGCTTGAACTTGAACGAGGTTGCTGGGATCGAACGACGAAAGGTCAGCGCAGGTGGGCACACCAGATGCATGCAGACTAGAAGGTCTTTCAAGTCGCAATTGTAACACTAGAAACACTAAACTACTTCATAGAGCATGATAACTTCGCGTGCGCTCTGCAACAAGGTTCTTGAACATCTCGCTTCGGATGACATTGCTATGGGAAACATTGGCTTACGAGCGGGAAACGGTGTAAGTGAGAGTACTCACATCACACTTTCAAAAATGTCTCGACGAAAACTTTCACTTCGTAGACTATCCACGGCCCACATACGGCTCAGGGTTAATGGCTTGAAGTTTAGACAGGGAGGTACACTGGCAACGGCCAACTACAGTTTACGATTTCGGGTTTGGGTTTCAGGCTTGGGTTTGGGGTCTATAGCTATAGGTTTACCTCACCGTGACGCGTATATGGGTTAGGGTTTTTACGGTTGCCATGTGCATCCAAGTGCTGCGCTTTTGTCCCGATAAATCCCTTCTACGGTCTGAGCTGGTGTGGTCGAGCTGTGCTTTGGAAAACCAGTAATGGCATATGCATTCTGCGACCTGCTCCATCCAATATCTCCGAGGATGTCCGACGAGCAGCTTTAATGAACTTGATGCGACCCGTATGTGCGGGGAAGACAGTACATGATGGACTGGATCGTTACGAATTGTTGTAGCGGGGATTTTGCACAATTGCGAAACCGTTGCAGTAAGATTTGGGAAGGTAGCGCAGGGCCTACGGCGGCCCACGTCCTACGGTTGCCTACGTGGGAATAAATTGACTACTTTACGTAGAAATTTATGATACCATGCATCTATGGGTTTCAAGTCGTTGAGTTCCAGGGTAAAGGCTTTCAGGCTGTACAGCCGGGCAAACACAAAAGTAAAATTGAAAAATTTTGATTTCAGTGCAAGTGTTAGGTCTGCTGCGCCAGAGTTGTTGTAATTTCATATAACCTGTGTGTCTTTCATTGTTGTGGTCTTCGACAGCTGTTTTACGTGGACCATCCCAAGAGACTTGTGTGCCTAAGTATTTTAAAGATTTCACACAAGAGCCACAGCAGCGTGCTCCGCAGCTTGCAGGGGTTTGACGGTATGTGGTATCGACACACAGACAGCTTCTGAGCACCGGAAAGTTGACGTCGTAAGCGGCTTTCGGTGGAGTGGGTTGTGACCGAACCATGCGCATACAGAGCTACGATACAGCTGCTTGCCAGAAGTGTCTCGCATCCAAAATGATGCAATCTGGGTGGGCACAAAAGACACAGCTGCATCTGGCCCGGGTCAGTTCAAACGCCCAAACCTTGACCCTGAAACCGAAACCCTGCGCCATGTTTGGACCGAACCTACACCCTAACGGACTGGCACGCCTTGGATATGCAACCACGAACAATCACAGCATCAAGCGAGGCGAAGACTCGGAGTCCAGGTTTCCCAACAAAACATCCTACCAGTCTACCCCAGCCGACGATGAAGAGCAAAGCGTCGGCACCGAATAATTTTAAATCCTAAACCCCCCGACCCCGCCGGACCCTTCCCCCAAACACCCTAAACCTTAATCCCTCAACCCCTTAAACCCCTAAACCTCTCAACCCTGAATCAGCCCTAAACCTCTTCAACCCTAAGCCGTAAACCCCACGCCACCTACACATTCACCCCCCTCATCAACTCTAAACGATAAACCCCCCAAACACTAAAAAACCCCAAACCCTGTTGGACACTAAACCCTAAACCCTCAGCCCTAAACCCGAAATGCTTTCCCGTCTATGTTATCCTTGCCATTTCCATCACCCCCATCATCATTGCCATCATTTCTCATCTCCAGTGTCTTTGAGCTCCTGGAGGCTCAGAGCTTCACCTCCGCCTTGTCCGGAAGCGGTCAATTGTCCGGAAGCTTGTGTAAGAAGATTTTAGCGTTTCCTCGGCGCGATCGCAATGCACCGGAGCCACAGAACCTGAATGGTCATGAAAACTCAGTCATCCAAGCTGATCTGACTTCCAAGTTCCCATACCCACATGAATCGAATTCTAGCCAAAAGGCCTTCTCGTCCAAACCTTTGCTTCGCACTTTGGAAGCACACCTCGTCCAACTTGATATCATTGCCAGCACCCCCGATGATAAGCTTTTCATTGAGTCTGTCAATAATGGGAGTCAACCAGTGGCGAAAGTTCATGAAAAGATCTGAAACTATGCGATGATCTGCGCCAAGAACCAGGCCGGCTTGATCGAGGACTGACGTTGAGGAGCGAGAAGAAGAGCCACAGCGTACCGATCAAAGAACAAAGAGTTTTTTGTTGAACAGATCCAGGTTCTGCGAAAGAACCGACTTCGAAGATTTGCAATCTTTCATCTTGCATCTGTACGCGATCTCCATTCGCACGGCTCCGCATCCTGCAGAATTTCCAGCTCAAACAAATCTCAACGATCTACGGCTTGATGCAAGAATTTCCATCCAGAAAATCACAATGGCCAAAAAACGGATTTATAGAAGCTAAGCCATGAGGAAGCAGAAGCTCTCGGTGTGGGGCGTGGTGAAGTCCCTGTGGAAGCGGGTGGAGAAATTGGAGAAGAGGCGAGGGCGCTCGTTGTTTTCTTACCATGGTCTTTGCAGTTTGCGCTAAAATCTTTGGTTTGATGATGTATCTGGGTTTGTCTGGTTGTCAAGCGGAAATGGGCTTTAAAAACAGTAGTTTTTGGCAACAAGATAAGGCACATGACAAGTTCCTTCAAAAACGAACTTTCCACTGAAATACCTTGACCTGTGAGAATCAGTAGCTTCGACTAGTCTGCATGCGAAAACAGCTCGAAATCGCGTGTCTAATTTCTTTTTGATGGAAAGTTGGAGTTGATGGAGATGATGAAAGATGCCGAAAATGGGAGATGATAAATGTGATGTGGTGAGTTCCAAGGGAACGAGCCGCATCGCCATTGGGAGCGTGTGTCACACGGACAGCGCTAAGGCCTATAAGAAGTTGGGTTCAGAAGAGCCTTTGGCGGCACTGTAGTGGAGGCTTTGGGAGGTCCTTCCTTCGCTCACT